CCTGTTACATACTTTTAACAAAACCATTATACCCTTATTTCCCATTTTCAATGGGTTCAGGGTATAAAAATCATATATTCAAACATAATATATGTAAAGTTGAGAATAATGAGCAAAATGGTTGAGTTAGAATTTTTTCAATTTTAAAATTCAGATCAATAGATGTAAAGTATTTGCATATTGAAGAACTTGCATTTGCAATATATGTATATTCCAAGTAACTTAATAGCATATGAACCGAGTTAATATTTAAACTGAATATAAATGAGAAATGACGTCTAAATGTGAAACTTATATTTCATATTGCTATATATATTAAATTCATCAGACTAACCATACAGGAGAGAGAGTTGAGATGAAAAGTCAAATTGTACATAAAGATGAAATCATGAAGCTAAGCAAACGACTGTGAAATGTGTGATAACCTCTATATATATCTCAATTGGTCGCCAACTTGTAGTTTTATCATTGTTAACGAATTCTTTATGTTTCATGCATTGCAGATGACGAAATCCGTGTAGTCCGTCAGCAAGAGCCATGTCAGAGAAGGTTAGCGGCGCTCTAGCTGCGCAGCTGCATGCGCATTCGCATTCGCTTGCGCTGGCCAACAGCTCCAGCTCCAGCGCCAGCGCCTCCGCTGAGCTGCAGCAGCAGTCATTGATTGGCTCCCGGGAGGCGGTGCTGCCCTTCGAGACAGATGCACCGGCAGCTGCGATCAGTGCGCAGCTGAATTTTAAGATTGTGCCCGTGGACAGCCTGATGGCGAGTGGCATGCCCCTGGGCCTGGGCAGCAGCCAGGAGATGTTCGGCTCAATGAACACATCACAAATCTCAAATGCCTCCACAGAGTCCAGCTGCAGTCCGCCAACAGCCGCGCCTCCCAAGCCCAGCAGGCACATGGCCGTGCAGCCCTTGAACAGCGTAAGAGAAACAGTTAATCAAAGGAAATTCATGCTATAGCCTGCTCCATTTGTTTTGCAGAAATCGTGTCGCTTTCCCAAGCTGGAGGAGTGCGCCCACTTTCATTACGAGCGCGTGCAGTTGGGCGCCCTCTCGGTGCAGCTGCTGGATGACAAGTCGGAGCAGCAGCTGGGCAGCAGCATTGCCTCACAGTCGATTGGTGGGGAGCTGGCACACAGCTCAATGCGGTCTGCTGCGTTCACGCCTGAGAACTGTTGGTTCATCATACGCGTCTGTCCGCAGGGCTGCGAGCCATTTCTGATCAAACGCAGCTTCGAGAATATGCAAATGCTGGACGAGATGCTGCATCGCTGTGTCTACGATCGCAAGATAAGCGGATTGCGCAATATGAGCGAGCTGGGTGCAGACGAGGATCTCCAGTCGGAGCTGGATGTGGAATATGCAGTGGCCAAGTACTTGGAGCGCTTCTCGAAAATCGCATCCGACTCGCTGACCTGTGGCACCATACTCACCTGGCTTCAGCTGGACAACAAGGGCCGACGACTGCCCCTCGCCGATGGCGAAACGCAGAGGACAATAAACACGCCCGCTGTGGGCGCTGCTTATGGCGTGCGTCGCTACCAGGCGCAGGCACCGGATGAGATTAACATTGAGGTGGGCGACATGATATCCGTCATCGACATGCCCAGTCCGGCGGAGTCGATTTGGTGGCGTGGCAAGAAGTCGCACCTGCAAAAGTCGCTCTACGAAGTGGGATTCTTCCCGCAGTCGTGTGTAGCCACGATTGGCGACAAGGTGCCAAGGAATTTTCCAATGCCGGCTCCACTGGTGGGCCACTTGGATGCCTCGCCCACGAAGCCGGTTCTGCGCAAGCACGGAAAGTTGATTGCCTTCTTCCGTTCGTTCATCTTGTCGCGTCCATCGCGACGACGCCTCAAGCAGAGCGGCATCTACAGGGAGCGAGTGTTTTCCTGCGATCTGTCGGAGCATCTGCTGAACAGTGGCCAGGACATTCCCATGGTGTTGAGGTCCTGCGCTGAATTCATTGAGAACTATGGCGTCATTGATGGCATCTATCGCCTCTCGGGCATCACGTCGAATATACAGCGTTTACGGCGCGCCTTCGATGAGGAGCGCGTTCCAGATCTAGGCAACCCGGAGATGAAGCAGGACATTCATGCGGTCAGCTCTCTATTGAAAATGTATTTTCGCGAGCTGCCCAACCCGCTCTGCACCTATCAGCTGTACGACAACTTCGTAGAGGCTATCCAGGTGAAGGCCGACGAGGCGGACGAGCGACTGCGTCTGATGAAGGAGACGGTGCTAAAGCTACCTCCGCCGCACTATAGGTAACCGTTTTTTCAGGATTTCGAGGGAATCATGCTTAGTTGAGAATACCATTAATAACAACATCTTTCACATTACAGGACTTTGAAGTACTTGTCGGAGCACTTGCACAAGGTATCGCAGCATCACGAACGGACTGGGATGACGGACAAGAATCTGGCAATCGTTTGGGCGCCCAATTTGCTGCGCTCGCCGGCCCTCGAATCGGGAGGCGTGGCAGCACTGCGTGGCGTGGGCGTACAGGCTGTGGTCACCGAGTACCTGATACGCAACTGTCACAACATCTTCGATGCGCTCGAGGATCACAATGCCCGGCTAAGCATCGTGGGCAACGCAGCAGCAGCGGCAGCTGCCGCAGCGACTGCTGCACCGAGCGAGCTGCGCATGGAGTCGCTGACGGACTGCGAGAGTCTGCTGGTGGAACAGCGCGAACAGGACCAGTCGCTGGGGCTGATGGAGCGGCCCAAGAGCCTCAGCACAGGCGGTGCGAAGCTGATCAGTTTGGAGGAGGCGCAGGAGCGGCATTCGCGCATCGAGTGCGGCACAGACCTGAAGCAGTCGCTGCCAATCAACATGATAATGAGCAACAGCACTGCAGCCGCCTCCAACATCGGGTCCTACATTGAAGTGGGCGGCGGTCCGTCCAGCCTGCCGGACAAGTATCATACGGTGCTGTCTGTGCCGCGCAGCTGGCAGAAGCGCAAGCCGGACAAAACTCCTTCTTGGAAGTCGATATTCACGCGCAGCCAGCGCCAGGGCAACGAACCAGGCCATAAGCTGATCATCGATGGCGGGGCAAGCAGCAAGGATGCAAATGTCTCCACGCGCGTCTGCTTTGTGCAGGCATCCCATTCCCACGCTAGCAAGGAGCTCTCCAAGCACGACAAGCCCAAGTCCATTGAACTGCTGGAGACGACGCGCGATGCACGCCGCGACTCGGCGCTGGGCATCATCGGCAAGCCGATGGAGCTGTGCATACGCTCCAATTCGATTGATAGTCTGCGCACAGTTGGCCATTCGCGCAGCGTCTCGCACGACTCTTACTTCGATCTGCTGCAGTCGCCGCAGCGTGGCCACATGACCACCTGCCCGTCGCGTGAACTCTCCGAGCTGGGCCTGAACTTCGATCGCGAAGAGCCCGAGATGCGCATTTTCTCTGAGAGCGAATCGCTGGTTAGCTCGCCGCGGGTGGGCAAGGAGAATGTGCCGCCTGCAACGGGCTGTGCAACGCGTCGCATAATGCGCGCGCGCCCTGAAGAATTCTCCAGTCAGACGAACAGCGTTAATCCCAGCCCCAAGAAGCAGCCGCGTCTCAACCTCTTGTCGCCCAGTGCAGCGCGCACGTTGCCTCAGTCTGTGGCTCCACAGCAGCAACAGCAGCAGCAACAACAACAGCAGCAGCAGGGAGGAGGCTGTGGCCATGAGCCCGCGGGTGCCGAGAACTGCTGCAAGCGCTATAAGCTTGAGGATCAGCTCTCGGATATACAATTCATCGACTGCGGCACACCGGAGCATCCGCAGCAGCAATTCGCCAGCGCCGAGGTGCATCAGCCGCCGCCACCTCCAAAGCCAGCGCGTGCGCAGCCGTTGCCCTCGCCCACGGCCGCCTCGACTGCTGTGCGCTACAGCTATCCCTCAGTGCAGCTGGGTGCGAAGCGGAAGGAGCAGCTGGCGGCGAAGGAGCGCTTCAGCTACCAAGGCACCTTCACGCAGCAGGGCGCAAAGCCGGAGGCCACAGCAAGCAGAACTATGCAGTGAGTTGCTAGCTCTATTAATAGGGAATTGTTATTGAGCATTCTCTCTAATCTCTTACAGGAATGGCAGCAAGCTGCCTGTGCCCACGCCCACGACGCCTTCGCATAGTCCACGCTACTCACTGCTGCTGTGCGACACGGAGAGCTCCGAGAATAGCTCGGCCGTCAACACGCCTCAATACGATATGGAGCCGCTGATGGTGAACTCCGTAATGTCGGGCATATCGGGCGTCTCTTCCAACTTGCAGCAGCAGCAGCAGCCCTTGCTGCTGGGAGTAGATGCGGCCAGCTATCTGGGCAGCTCGCATGAGAGCCTGGGTCAGCAGCAGCAGCAGGTAAGATCCAATGGAAATTTAGAGACATTCCGGATGCTCACTCTCTCCTTATTTCTCTCTATCTCTCTTGCAGTTTCAGCCGGAGCAGCGCGATATGCATGCCTTGAAACGTGAGCTTTCGCTCGACTTGCAGCCGCAGCAGCAGCCGCGCAGAGGTGCTACACTGCCCGTCAAGGAGCTGCTGCAGGCTGCCAGCTCGCCGAACAACTCGAATCTCACAGACAACACTAGTCAATCGGTGACTCCCAGCGAGTTTGGCTACCAGCATTTGCAGCGACACCTGAGCATGCACTCGCTGCTGGCCACCGAAGAGAGCTCGCCCCTCTACGAGGACTTTGAGCAGACGCCCAGCAACGCGCTGTCGCCCGCCAAGCCTCTGCCGGCGGCTTCCGTCAGCAGCCCTATCAAGTCGACTATTAGCATAACGTACAAGTCGCCAGAGAAGGAGAAGCCGCCGACTAAGCCCGCGCTGCTGTTGGAAACAAATTTCGATGAGAATATTGTGTACGAGCAGGTGAAGCTGTTCAGGAACTCGGTGACGGAGGTCAATCAGATGCTGAACGAGCGACACGGTCAGAGCCTGAAGCAGATTGAAGAGGAGGATGGCAGCGCGCAAATGGCGCAGCAGCTGTTGCAGCTGCAAAAGGAACAAGAGGATGAGGATGAGGGGCAGCGGGACCAGGAGCAGCTTCTGTATGAGAACATTGAGCTGCGCAAGCCGAAAACAGTGTACGAGAATCTACGCGGCGAGGAAATGAAACTCAACGTAGCAAGCGACGACGTACTGGAGCTCGAGACGGGTTCGAGTTTGAATTCGGAGTCAGTTGCGAAACATCAGCCCAGTTGTGATCGCATTGAGCTAGACAGTTTGGACAGTTTGCCAAGTGTCGAGCACAATATGGAGCACGAAAAGCAAGAGCAGCTGGAGCACTCGGAGCAGCTGCCGCCTAGCAAATCGCCGTCGTTCAGCGTGAAGGAGTTGGCAACCAAATTTGAAAGTTCGCCCGTTGAACAATTGCCAAATTTTGACTTCAGCCAGCGCGGCGGCTCGATGAAAAAGCCCAATAATGAGCTCAGCCTGCCGCCCGTGGCAATGCCGCCAAAGCCGTTGCTGATGCCCGTGCCGCTCAAGAAACGCAATGCGAACGCACAGAAGATAACGCGTTCGCTGGATGAGAATGCCTTCGTACGCGAGTTCGGTGGCAAGCAGCTGCAGGATCTGACTGCATGCAACCAGCAGCAGCAGCAGCAGCAACTGCAACAGCAACAGCAGCAGCCACAGCTGCCAATGTCAGAGCTGGACAATCGGCGCAAGAGCTTTGATTTCACGCGCCCGAAAACGCTGAATCCGCCCAAGCGTTTGCCAGGAATGAGCATCACCGAGGAGATATGCCAGAAGCGCAACAATGAGTCGGCCGATCAGCAGATCACCACGCCCACCACTGAGAATCGCATTTCGCTGATACAACAGAACAATGTGCCACTGAATCCGCCAACAAGCAACGGACGCAAGAGCGTCTTGACTGGTGTGATCCTCGATCGGGAGCGCATCGACAAGATTAAGGAGGAGCGCCGCCAGCAGCTGACCCAAAAGTATTACGGAGACAGCATCAAGTCTCGCTCGAAAACCGAACTCAACTCGGCGGACGACAACTTCCAAGCATCCGAATCGCTGCGCGTCAAGTCAAAGTCTCGCGGCGATATGCATTCGCTGCAAAAGGACATGGATATGAATCTGAAGCAGCTGGCACGCGCTGGCGCTGGCTCCGAGAGCACGCTGCATCAGCAGATCGACTACAGCACCCAGCATCGTGTGCGCAGCATCTCAGACGAGAAAAATCAGAATTGTGATACCAACACCAACACTAACACCACCAACAGCAGCAGCAGTGCCAGCAACACCAATGGAGGCGCGGCCAATCAATCCAATTCGGTCAAGTCGGTTGCCCAGAAATATGCGCAGAACAATGCGCCCGTTATCACAGCGATCACCACATCAACGATGCCTGGAAAGTTCGAGCGGGGCATCGGGAATCGCGAACGTCTCTCTAGGAACTCCATGCCCCATCCCATAGCATCTACAGAGAGCAATGCGAGTGTCAAGTAAGTAGCTGAAATTGGGTTGTTAATAGATGTTAGTAATAAATGTTAATTTTAACAGATGCTAACTTGATAGCTGTTAGCAGATGTAAGATAATAGATTTTTGTTCATATTGAAGATCAGAAAAGTTAATAGGGGAAACACAATTTCTATTGTGCTCATGGTAACATATACAAATATTTATATCAGCTGATCAAATTGCAAGTATAATGTTCACATAATTAAATTTAAAATGAATACCATTTAATGAATAGTTATAGTTATGTCCTTTTTCAATTATTAACTCGCCTTTACTACTTTTCTATTTGCAGCAACAGAGAAAAGATCTCACCACAATTCTCAATACGCGATGTGACTGCGATGTTCGAATCTCGTTCACAAAACCAATAGACATGTTGGCAACATCGAATTCAGAATAACTATGTATAATCATATATAGTTATATATATATATAGATAGAAGAGCAGAAGAGAAGAAGCTGAAGAAGTATGAAATGGAGAAAAGGAGCGGCCGCGTTATATAGATTATTTAGTTTGTATAATTCTATATATATATTGGAAAGGCATTCCCAAATATGCATCCATCTATATATACGTATATTAATATACCTATAGAGATATATGTATATTGGATAATGGACCAAGCGGCACCAAAGACATGCAGCAAAAAAATCGCCGCTGGATATGATATATATATAGACTACATATACAGAGCAGAGCAAAATTCAATTTTGTTTTTCTTTCGAGATGAATATGACTAAAAAAAGACCCAGATCCTAGGCGTTAAGTTTATCTATATATAGTATAGAGAGCATTATATTTAATCATTTATTTGTGTAATTATTGCATTTCATTTGACTTGATTTTATTTTATTATATTCGGTTTATTGTGTGTGATTTGTTTCGTAAATGTTAAAAAAAATTTTACAAGAAAAAAATGAAAAATTTAAGTGTAAATTGAGAGCGCAGAGTTTTTATTCTGAAATCCTGAATTAATTTAGGTTTTTGCATTTCGACGCAACTTTGAGCGAGTTGTCTTAAGTATATTATTATTATTATTATGACTATTTTTATAATAGTATGCAGTTAATTTATTTAGATTTTTAAACTAAATCACAAAGCTTAAAAATAAATTACAAATTCAATTTTAATTATGAACTATTTTTATTTGTACCTAAGCACTTGTAAATACTCTACGCTTGCTTATACTAAATGCAGCTTACACAAAACATGGCGAACAAACAAGATTATACAAACTAAATATTTTGTAAGTGTACAAGGAACTGGACTTAACAAATCTGTCTTAACAATTAAAATACAAAAGATATGCAAATGAATTTCAACAGAAACTTTTATTCCCCATTCTATTCCAACTATTTTGTAAAGATATATACATAGTATATGTCTGTGTAGAACCTGGTAGCATAACACTTTGCAAACATAATGGTTGTCTATAGGCTAATTATGGTTACAGTTCGCTACGAAGAGAACAATAGTGTAAACAAGTAAGAAAGCTCTAGTCGAGACTGCTCGACTACGAGATCCCCTGAA